CTGTTGTTATGCTATAATTTGCTATATATAAAACCTCCTGACCTGTTATGCTCCATCAATATTTATTTAGTATAAAAAAAGGGATGGAAGTGGTTTATATAGCAAACTATGGTAATAAATGTAGAGATCTGAATTCCCCAGAAATTAAATCTTTACATTAACTGTTAAAACTGTATCGATAGATTTGTAATTTGTCTCAGTTATTCTCCGATGATGCCTTACCGTACAATAAAGTATGTTATATGTAGAATAACTAAAAGGCAAATTCTCAGATAAATATAAAGGGCAAGTCTAAGGATACTATTTCCAGTCTGGAGAAAGTTGTCTTGTTGTTTTATAGAATCTGGCAAGATGGTGGATTTTTGATTCAATCAAAATTAACCAGAATTTAGAGTTCTTATCATTATGATTATACTTCAAGTGCTTACGAACGACAATCATCAAGTGGTAAATATCTTCAGAAATCTCAGGTGCTAAACCTTAAAAAAAATAATTCAATAGTATTACTCAATAATTAGCCTTTTATTTTTTTTATATTATTAAAAAAAAAAAAAAAAAAAAGAATATCTACCATTAAACTTCAAGATCCAAAGAACCTTATTTACAGTAATAAGCCTAAAATCACACGAATTTTGAAGAATCACACGAATTTGCGAAGGTGTTATACCTTCATTTGCAAGCTTTAAAATTTGTTCACAGATATCATTAGGCATAATTTTCATCCACAGAGATAATATATGTTAGTATGAAAAGGTGTTATCAATAATTTTATGAAATATTTGAGCTTTTTTTTTTTTCTTTAAAATGTAGTGTTGAGGATCATGCGGGTAATAGTAATTATTTGTAGATCACGTCATGTAATAAAATTCTTGCTTGATTTTATAATAAAAAAGTATTTAATGATTAATATGATATATAGTAATTAACGATAAACGAAAGCATTGTTATTTTATTAACTCACCTTAAACAAATTCATCAGTATGTGCTGAGTCAATATTAAATATTTACATGAAAAGATGTTATTAATCATTGGGTATAGTTAATGCATAATTATTATTTGTTTAATTCTGCAGGTGCTTTTTTCATCTGCATCTAATTTCATAACTACTAGTGATTAAATCCGTAAGTACTTCCCTATATATATTTTCCTGCTTTGATATGAATTATGATTATTAATCTAAATCACTAATCAGATTATCTATATCGAAGTCCTTATTTCCATGTATAACCTCTTCGCTTAAACTTGAAGGTTCATTGGGAACTAAGTTGGAAGACAAAGATATAAAGTTTCTAACATCTAAATTTGTTGAATTTTCATTAACTAAGTCTTCTAGTTCTTCTTCGGTTTCTTCTGTATTTTCCTTTGCAAGCTCTTTCAAAAAAACAAATGATTCTTTTTCACTAAATAGATCAGATCCATCTTCTAAAGAACTTGCGATTTTATTAAAAATAGACAATAGGTTTTCTTGGTGAAGATTTTGATCCACATAATTGAGTTCTGATTTAGCATTCTCAACTAAAAATGAGTGCATCTGGGCCATAATTTCTAGACGTTCAATGCTTAATCTAAAAAAAGAAGGTATTTTAATAATAATGTAAAATTACAATAAAGAAGAAAAAATTAACGCACCTAGTCCGTCTTTTTTCAAGATACCAGTTTAATATACTGAAGAGTTGCTCACAGGCAGCATTATGAGGTGAAACTGAATATACTTTTAGGGTGAGGGTTTTTATATAATCTTCATTTTTTTTAAGCTCTACGGACATCCACCAATCAGTAAGTGTATCAGTAGATGAAATAAATTCATCATCAAAGGGGTCTGTAATTTTTGTATAAATTTATTTGAGATTTTAAAATTCCAGCACTTATATCATCTCCATCTATTTGTTTCCATATTTCTATCACTTTTCTAAAAACATAATTTTTATATACACCGACTTCAAAAAAATTACCTATTATAAGAGAAATAAATAAATAAATAAATAAAATAAAAATACAATAAATTATATATATTGACTTCTAAATACCATGGTAAGTTGGGTATAAAAAAAAAAGATAAAAGATACAATTCAAAATCAAATTCTTTCTATCGCTTATTATATATAGTAATGCAATTATGCCAAAATTGATTATTATATAAAACAGATGTCTCCTGAATTGCGATTGCCATTTTTATGAGCTCAACAAATATGTCAGCTAATGAGGTGGTTCGAAACTCTACATTTTTTACAGCTTGTTTTACAGGGCCAAGAATATTTCTGAGTTGCTCAATATCAATCCAAATTGGCGATCGTAATTAGATTTTTTACAGTGCCTGCATAGATAAAAATTTGGGGCTCTTGTTCTAAAACCTATTAGCAAAATTAAATAATTTTATATAAGTAACAGGAAGAGAAAACCTGTAAATTATTTTATCGCAATGAATTTCTACCTCTTAGGGGTAGAATTCACTATGATGAAATGATTTACAGGTTTTCTCTTTCTGTTACTTATATATTGGATATACTGATTACTATATCGAGATAACAGATATGTATCAAAAATACTTTAATCTGTCTGTATATAAGTAGAAACCTTGTTTCTACTTATACTCAACAGCATAAAACAAAATTATAAAACTTTACTGATTTGATGTTTGCTTCATTACGTAAGATAGATTCACAGGAATCCCAAGTCGTTGACTACCGAGTCTTAGTTGGTGACTTCAAATTTCTACCAAGAGTAGAAGAAAATATGATTTCTTCTCTAAGAGCAGCACTAGCGGAATAGAAATTTCTAAAAAAGCTTATAATTGTTTGGCAATTTGATAAAATTTTTTTCACATAAGGTAATTTACAGATACTACTGGAGATAAGTTGGATATGATGCGCAATGCATCTTATAGGTAAAATATATTAATATTTTTGTGCAATTTGTCGTTTTGCCGCCATCATCGACGATTCAGCATCAGAAACTATTGCTATAAATTTTTCTGGCCCGATTCTCTCTAATACCTCTATTATTTTTTCAGCAATAAACTTTGCAATATAGGCAATCTTTGAAAAATCTCATAAAGAATAGATATACTGTTTTCTTTTACTTGTTATTACGACAATAGCGTATATACTATGTTTCAATAGACTATACTAACTATCAATACATAAAGTTAAATTCTTAGCTTTAGACAGCTCCTTATCTATTTTTATTATGATGTTTGCTACCTTTGCATTTAAAATTAATGTTGCTAAGGCAGTATGCTTGGGTGGTTCATAGCTGGGATTTAGTGCTTTGGTATAATCTTCAAAGTAAGGATTATCAAAGGCTGCAAATGAAATGCCAGAAGACACGATCCACTTAATCAGTGATTGGTTAGCTCTTTTTTCTTTAGATTTATCAATTGCTTCTACCACATCATAATAGGTATCTACGAACAACTGAGGATATTCTGATTTTCTTTTTTTAAAGGGGTTAATTCAGATTCGCTTTGAAGCTCCCGAAGTACTTTAATTCGAACTTCTTTAGGTACTTTTCCTTTACATTTTATCGCAAGATGTGATTTCATTTCATAGGCTCTTCCTCGAGACCACTTTTGAATACAATATCTACAACTTGCTTCTTTGCGTTTTCCTGCTCCATTATTTATAGTATCAAACTCTTCCTATATATCTGCAGAGGGCCATCCAC